CCTTGACCGGCCTGCGCCAAAATTTCCAGGTCATTCACCCGCGCCGCGACGCCCACCGCCACTTCGTTTATCTCGCATAAAATAATCGCGCGCCCACCCAAAATACCACCTTACCTTCCATCTCTTAAGGCCTTATTCTACATCACATAGTATCTGTAAACGTTACATAAAACAGTTTATAAAACCATTGTTGATTGTAATTTATTTATCAATATCCAAGAATAGGCATGCATGATGACGAAGTGAAATAGCGAAAAATATCTTGTTACTTATTACCCTATATTTTCAATCGATTACATAACGATGTTTAATGTTGCTGTTCTATGCATGCATAATACCGTTGGATTGAAATAACAAATCGTCAAACCATCTAGGGCTTTAGTAAAAGCGACTACTTAGTAGGTATTTATGAAATACAAAAATAATATGGATTTATTCGTTTCAAATCATTTTAAATCTTGAATTGTTGTTTGATATGAACGTGATATTTATAGGTCCACAACCCCCAATATAATGAGGCAATATAAAATGTTAAAGTAATTACATGCCAATATGATTTCATCGAAAAGAATTTGGTATCAATCGGTCCCCGGAAGTGTGTGCTAGGAGGGAAGCGGGCAAGCAGGCCGACCGGCAACGGGTCAGTCCGTCACGCGGCGACCTACACAGCGCTGGCGATCCATTAGCTCGATTTCGTGTTCAAGTTCACTCAAAACGTTCCATCACCGAAAATATTTTTGTACTGTGACGCAACCGGCAGCGGCTGTGTCCCACTCGAACGCTTGGGCGCGTTCTCAGTCGGTGCCGTTCTCGCGCGACCTTGGCCGCTGTACGCCGCAAGGTTCGGGTCTTCGAACTCGGCGTGCGGAGCGGGCGCGGGGCGCGGAACCACCGTCCCTCCAATCGCTCGCCGCGCTCGTCTGAGCGCGCCCCTTATTGGTCCGTCGAACGTGCGGCAATGACCTCGGAGACCGGAGTTCGAAGCGCGCCGATCCTCGCTTCGAAGCGCAGATCGTCAGGCTTCGCCGGCCGATAGAGGTGAATTTCGCTCGACGCAACGAGCTTCGTGGTCGAACCGATTGTATCGCTCGGAGCGCTGATCTTTTTGCAGACTTTCACTCTTAAAGGAAGGCTCGCTCGGCTAGAAGCGGCAGCGCGCGCGGCCCTCACTCAGTTCGTCGTTCGAGCTCGAGTGAGACGCACGCGCGTGCAGCGGGACGAGCGACCTTCATCCCTCGCGACGTGCCGGCCGCACACCCCGGCCCATGCACTTTTGTCCTATATCGGGTGCAAGTCCGCGAAGGAACACTGTGGCAAGGAGCATATAGGCTCGGATGTGGCTAACGTGTAGTGAAGTGAGAAGGACAATTACAATCATAGTTTTAAGAACATATGACTTTAGTGATGTCTCCGGACAGTAGTTATGGGCGCTACGATACGCCCACACCTGTGGAGAGCAGGCTTGTGAGTCCGGTGCATAAGGAACGAGAACCAGAACTGCATATAGGTAGGCTAACAAACATTTAATAATTCTTTACTGAATCTAATCAAAAATAGTTAAATCATATACCATTGAAACTTACTTACTTAAATAATATAACTCAAAATGTCTCATCAAAACAAAATATGTTAACAGTAACATATTTTATTCTTATTCTTTTGATTAGACGGACAGCCGTCTAATCAAAAGAATAACAATATACAATACCTATGTTTGTGTACTCGGTCAATTTTGGGTCAGACTAATAGTACTTCGTTATATTCAAGTTCAGTTCAACCGTATCACAATATATTGACATAAGATGTATCAGGTTCTACATATATTTAAATAGAGTTTACTAAACTTTTTTCAATGTTTCTATTTTAAGCTACGACGTAGACGCCCGTAACAGTGCTACGCTTTTCTCCTTTGAATTAGTAAAACAATTTGACTTGTCAATAATTCAAACTGTCTAGTTATTTACTTTAATTTTAAATTTTATTTTGTAATATAGACACACAGTGATAATAATAGTAGGTATTTAAAAGCACCACATGCTTTTCAAACACTTACAGGTCGCAAGTGTGGCAGTAAAATATAATACTTCACATTATCGTCCTAATTGATAGAAGCATTAACTTAACAAAATAAATAGATACCCAGATAGTTTTTCTGTATTGTGTGTAACTATTAATAGCTAAAATGTCGATGGAAGATAAACTATTATTTGTAGGTACACATAAAATATTAATAGATACTTTCAGCGCTTGTGACTTTAAAACATTTTTAGTACTTTTTCAATATCGTACATTATTATTAGTTATCAAACTGTAAACAGACCAAATCCCACATTTCTTTTATACGTAGTTATTAATGGATAAAATTCTACACTGTTATTTCTTTACCCTTTAACGTACGGTTTTGAAGTTTCATTTAATTGTCACAAAAGGTTTGCGAAACGAATTTGATTGATGAAATCTCGATTCCGCTCGGAAACATTCGGAAACAATTAAAATAACATTGTTCAAAACATGTATAGTGCTTGACAAACGGTATCGACAGGCCCCCTAACAAAATTACATTCCAATATTGACGATGCCTGCGGGGAGTCCTTATCGATTTGCGTTCGATACTTAATGATCTTATCGCTTTTTTTATCGATTAACTTTGTAACGTTTTCTCCCATGAAATTTCGATATTAGTAAAGTGTTAACTGTTACTTTGATGTGAACCCGAGTAGGGTGTTACGTCTAGGAAATTAAGATATCTAATGATCATTGTAAGAATTGTATACGAAATTCACTGAGAGCGTATCTTCACAACGAACAGGTTCAGAGACAGCTGCCGCGCAACTTTTACTTTTCTCTCGACGCTTGCGCAGCATGTTCAACCAGTGTACGACTCGACGACGTTCTCATACACCTTCACTCTCGATTTCTCGTAATATTAGATATTTTACACATAAAAGACTAAGATTACCAACTGCTGCTAATCTAGTCGACAGTTTAACATTCAAAATTAGAAAGTCTGCTTGTTACTTTCTTTTATTTATTAAAGATCAAACATTTGTAATAAACAACATGGACACAAGTTTGAAAAAAAACTTTATTCCCATCATATATAGAAAAAACTATTTATACGAATATTAAGGTACGATTATTTATAATTTTGTGCCTTTGACTTAGCATTTAAGAGAAAAATAAATCATCATTTAATTTCTATATTTGTTTATATCGATAGACATTTACAGATACATGAAAGCGTGATAAATAGCTGTGTATAAACGTGATTTATATTTAGTACTACTACGTGCAAACGTAAATTATTTACAAACAAAAGTCGCCATGACACAGATGTATTTACGTTAGTACGGTCACACAGTCACATCGTTTTGTGCACGGCAGCCCTAGTTACGTGGCCGCGCACTTTCACGAGCACTTTCCTCGGATTTAATTGACGTAATGTACGAGCGATTCACACGCGCCGCTAAAAAAACGCATAGGTTGCATCACACGAGGAGAAATGGCTGCACGCTACTGACTCTGTTGCAACTGCACTAGTTACGTCTTACCGCGCTTTCGCCGCTCCATTGTGATCCCCACCCACGCACGCACCGACGAAAGTGCTCATAGAGATGAGACCGAAATTATCGTGCCGAGGGCAACCATACGCCGCGCCGCGTCTAGAAAAAAGAAAGTAACACCATAGAAAGCGACCGTTCGAACGTCGACCCGCGGCGAGTGGTGCGAGCCAGAAATAGAAAGTTCCTCCAAAAAGCCCGCGGCTGCTCCCTTTGATAAATAAACAAATGACGAGAGAGGAAAGTGAGAACAGCCGGGTTCGAAACCAGTTCCCGGTGACTCGCCCTGCCACCGTCCTACTAGTCACGTCACTTGTTATTGTTGTGGCAATATATCTATCATTGACCTACTAAAGAAATCACTATGTACATTAACTGATGACCATTAACTAATTGGTCTCCTTTCTTACCAAAAACATTCATAATTGAAATAATTACCTTACACGTGCGTTTTAAGAATTAGAAATGTTTATTAATTTTGTTTTAGGGAATGACAATGCGGTCATTGACTTCACCGGTGATGTAAAGAGAGGCGAAAGCTTTCTAAAATAGTTATTCAGTGTCACCTTGAGACGCAACGTGACGTTGTTGCGTCATACGTTCCATTAGTACTAAGCTTAGCTGACTGCATTGTCATGAATAATACAAAACCTCTGTTTTATATTGGAATTCTATGTTGATTTCTTATTAGAGGAAGAGATCCATTAATGCTCATGAATTCATCTAATCTTTATTAAAATAACCATTACGTTAGCTGTTATGTAAAGTTAGATAACTCCCAACCTACTTTTGTATTCTTCAATAAAGCAAAGTTTTTCATACAGTTACTAGGTATGTAGTATAACGAGGAACTTTAATGTGATTAGGTCGTAGGTAAACATGCTTACACGAGATACTCTTACGCGCCTTTTATGGTAACACGTGACTGCTGATAACAACACTAACTTAACAACCAGCGGCCATAACAAGAAACAATGCACTACCTAATTCGACAAATTCCATGAAAAAACCAACCAATTCAAAAGTTTTATTTAAGTCAATCTTAAACAGCAAAACTTATTCTTCATAATAAAAATCACTTAAAGACTTAAACAGCTAATATTAATCGTTACGCCTTCATAATACACATCGTTTTAAGTCTTGTTAAGCGCTGTATCTTCAGACGTCAACGGCTAATAAAAACAGACAATAACCTGTCATACCTAATTATGAAGTTAAGAAATGTAATATCATGCAAGTTGAACGCACCGTTTCGATGCAAGGTCACAGAGTTATCGTCAGAATCACGTGCGTAGGCGTCGCTGTTTGTTATACAAGCTCGGCGCACCGGCCAGGATGTTTTGCAAACTTAAACACCGTAATCTTTACAGCATGTATGTTTTAAACATACTATAATGATAAATTTAATTTCCATTGATTTCAGTTTTAAACTTGTTTCAGAGTTCGATGGTACCACAGTTCTATGCCGTGTTTGCGGCGACAAAGCCAGTGGATTCCACTATGGCGTTCATTCCTGTGAAGGTTGCAAGGTAAATATTCATTATTTAACATTTAAAAAATTCACTTTCGTCACCTAATGCTCGCCAGTACTGAGTACGTCTAAAACCACTAAATAAACCAACTGTGATATTATGTGTGGAATTTTTCGTCTTAATATCCTTTAATTAAAAACAAAGCTAATCTTTTATTATGTAGTTCTATTAGTGGGTAATTGAGTGAGAGATATGCGGGTGCGTACTGAGATAATATAGGAAGCGTCTGCGAGTGACAGACCCTCCTCTCGTCATGGTCTGTCTCGAAAGGTACTAGTTTAGTGCCACCACCAAGGCCGGCCACACGGAAGACAATCTCTATACATTCGACATATAAAGCCTGCCCAGATGACCTTATTTATTAAGAAATGTAGATAAGTTAACCCCTCTTGGTAGAATGATACTAACAAAAGATACGAATACAATGTAGTGTAAAATGAACTTGTTGCGTTGCACCGAATCGGACCGGGACGGTTAGTCCCGACGTCTACCTGCTGGCCTCGGTCGGCGAGACGGTCAGCCCTTGCCGCCCTATTTCTTTAACCTTTATTTTTGTTATTGATACCTGTGACGGCAATCACACGGGAACGAAGTTATTTATGTAGGGGCCTAAACTGGTGTTGATGCACCGGAGGTCATCACACAGAATGAAAATGTCAAAAAGTATGACGCATAAATACATGGCATACATATTTATGACTTCCTTTATAATTATGCTTTGTTCTGGCATTTCTATGCAATTTGTATGTACTAATTTTTTATTTAATTGTGAACCGTAGTTGTGAAAAATCATAAGAATATTAATTAACGATATAGGTATTCAAGTCTACGTGTTATTTAATGTTGGTAAAGATGATAAAGTCTAAATGATTGCCTTAATACTTATATTTAATACGTGTTCTGAGAAACTGTATCTATACTACAAAGTAAAGATATAAAAAAGAACAAAATCCAAAACGGGTCAGCCACGCACGACGAGACGAACTTCAAATAAAAAAAGGACGAGACAAGGTCGTGAGTTAAAGCTCGAGCTGTCCCCCAACTAGTATAAATAAGTGACCATCAACAAACAAGCAGGTGGCTATTAAAACAGTATAATTTTAAAAAAGCATCACACAAAATACTCATGATGGCAATATGAAATACATTTTAGTATGTATAGGATAAATATCATGACCTTAACAGAATAATAATGCAAGAACGCGTGGCTCAATTTAGCTCCAATCTACATTGATATTTCATAAATTGGTGGAGTCAGTAACCACCCTTCGACCCAAGGTCGTATTCATAAACGTGAAAGCGATGCGAGGAAGCAGGCGGGATAGTAGTGCAAGTGTCTGCAAACTGGTTTAGTCGGCTGAGCAGTACAAAGAGAGTCCTTCGCGACTCGTGTATTGCGAGGACACAATCTACATACATTCTTCTTTCTTGCAATTTTACAATACCATTGTAACACATTCAATATTTTAATTAAAAGAAAATGGATAAAATTATTTATAGTGATATGACATTTTTATTAAATAAAAAATATTATTATCTGTCAAAAATACAACAATAAACAAGTATAATCAATTTTATAGATAGAAAAATCCATTATTCGTAATACCACTGCATTCATTTAATTAACGAAGTGATTATATAATCGTATTCGAAAATACCTATCATATTTTATAACAGGATAGATATTTACGAATACGATATGCGCCAACTGACGGCAGTATTGCGAAACTTACTCAGAAGTTTATCCACTCGATACTAGATGGCGCCTTGGCGACAGTGCTGCCACGCGATCGGATATAAACGTTAAACTCTTGAATGAATGACGAGACGGCGCCAGTGTATAGTTGGCCACTATGAAGAGCGAGACTTACTACGCTTTAAAGTCAACGAACTCATACTTTATGTTCAAGTCTACGTCATAATATTAATATCGTTGCATACTTACGAAGTCTATAAAATATCAACTAATTTATTTCAAATGGCTATGATAATTACAAAAAAAGTTCAGAATACTCTTATCGTTTAATCTAATTCATACTGCTCTTAAGAAGGGCTAAGTTGAGTATATAGGGAATTCAATATTAAATGCTTAATTAAGTGACGTATAGTATATTTAACATCTTCAGACATTTTTTTCAGAACAAAATTGTTTATTATTGAGTGTTAAGTATATCATTAGTTACTAAGACAACAGGAGTCGCGTGTTCTTTGTTCTCTGTTGTGACCGACTTATTTCTGCGAATAGTAGGTCGCTTATATTTCGGCACCAATAAGCGGTGCAGGGCGGCGGGGCGTTGACCCCGCCGAGCCTGTGAGCTCCGCTCTCCTCACCGCTCCGCCTGTAAACAACTTCTACGGGCAGCAAATGTACTCGCAACGTGAACGTAACCCACATAATTTTTGAACTGTCAGCTTAAAAGTTCATTGATCTCTGAACGGTCACATTTTATTGGGAGCAGAGCATCATGTTGTTGCGTTTGCGTTTACGATTTCCTATTGAGCAGATATGTTTACGTGCATGTCTAAAATGAAATGTTTCTTTGTAGTGCGTTTGTTTTTCAAACAAGGTTTTACCACTTAATTCTAGTACTTTTAGAAATTACATAAAATAAATAAAACTTTATTTCTATGCTCTAAGAATAATTTATGTGTATAGCTTTAATACACAAATATCAATTGCGTTCAATATATCTCATGTCGTATCACAAAATTGTCGCATATGTGTTCGCTACAATTATTTGAATTGGCGAATCGATCGATCATTTCTACTCGTGCAAATTATTACGTATCTCATTAATATACAATTTTATTCGATTTATTATATTAACTTTATGAATTAACAGTATTCAGGCTTCCTAAAGCTTCTATTAGTAATTCTGTAAACGTGTTTATAACTGTAAAAAGTCTGCTAACTCGTAAAACAATAGTTTGACTAGGACGTTATAAAATGGCGATATACGTGAACGCAAAGTGAATCAAAACCCCATTGTGAGTCAGATACTTGTCCTTATCATAGCAAACATCTGCACACCGACAGACACGTAGAGGGGACTGTTAGCCGAGGACGCTTCCTCAGAAACATGGATGCGTCAGCATGTTTTCGGCTTTAACCGACCAGTGTTAGCAAAGTCGTTGGCCGCTGCACCGTTAGCCTCGTCACCTCACCGCCTCGATGAACGATGAAACGTTGCCATCGTGTAATTTTTAACACTCGTATTAAGTATTCTTCTGTACAATCTATTTTAATCTTGTTCGATAAGAGGTAAATAAGAGTCTCCAATAAATAAACAAATTCCTTGTCAATCAATAACATAATACGTGTATTTATGGAATCAGGTGCTAATAAATAAAAATACACTACATTTGATTGTTCTTATTAACATTTTACACGTGCTTGCAATAATTATAAAATTGACGATTAATAATTCAATTAGAAAACTTGCTTACATAACACGGCAACTCTCTAGTAACGAAAGTTTTCACGTGACTTGAGAATATTAAATAATCAGTTGAATAAAACATGACGCTGACACAATTGTATTGTTAGAGTAGCTTAATTATTGTTTTTTTATGACTAACTTTATATACTAAAGTGGGTACAGTGTTGCATTATTTGTATTGCAATCTTGTATACGGTCTTTGGAACTTGATGCAGAACTTAAATGGTTAACCGTTATTATTACCAAGTAACGCCTCAAAACATAATAAAATGTATAGGCAAGTACTTATTATAACTATGAACATTTTTATATGTGATAAGTCTAAACTGTCCACATTCCTAATTGTCATATGCGTTTACTTATAATTTATGCACGTTAATAATTACTTACTAACGAAGTTATCAAATCGGCCTAAAATACTTACTCTAAATACTGTTACCAGAATTCAATAAGCACCGGATACGAAGAGAATAGCTTTTTAGAACTCAAAACTAAGTAACCGTGTTAATTATCTAACGGTCGTTGACACATCGAACTACTTGATTAAAGTGAAGGCTAACTTATCCGATATGAAAGAAATCAAAACAGGAAAAAACATCTTATCACGAAATCGTATTTCGAACTATTCACATTTTTCGTATAATTTATAGATTCTTAGACGTGTATAGCAAATACGGCTGATGTTTATCATAGTCATATATTGTATACAAAGTATGATGCGGTGCTAGCGGGAAAGGTTTTGTTTTCGCGGCATGAGTTCGTCGACCGCGCGGTCGGTCACTGGCCGCGCTGCGACCAATTATGGGCCACTCGTACAGCGCACAATGGATCGATGGCAGCGCAAAATTGGGCCACCGACCCGAACACTTCTCGTGTCGACCCGCAAGCCCTCTCTTTCATGCAGCTTGGCTGCACACTCACAGTCCTTCTTATGATATATGATTCCTATAATACAACTAATAAAGGTAAAGTTTTATAATATGCTAATGAAATTAAATTCTATTATAAAGATATGTAACTGTAGCGAATATAAACAAGATGATAATGTTAAAAATTTAATTAATTGGGTATAGTATATTAATAGAATAAATACTTTTATATTTATTCTATTAAAATAAGCATTTTTTAATATTATTAGAATAAATATTTTTTGTTAGCTTGTAGTTTGTGTAATTAATTAAACAAAAAATAAAAACAAATGAAATTCTATGATTTATTTACTGTGTAGCTATTACTCTGTAGCTGTATGTCTTTATTAGAGAAGTACTAAATTAGAAATCTTATTATAAATCGGATAAAGCTTATCCTATTATAAATCGGATTCTAGCAGCCTTTATTGAGGAAGTCTTTTATATTAGGCAGTTATTTTAATATTATTCTATGGCTGTATTTCTTTATTGGAGATGCATTAAAATAAGGATCTAGTTATCGGATCCTTCTAGCCCTTAATGATGAGCGCCCGCGCATTGAGGTAGGCCGTGACGTATGTTAGAACGTCATCGAGTATTAAGCCGGTCATTGAACTAAACGAGCTGCGCCCCTAGCTCCCGGGCGATAGAGGGTATGGAGGGGAGGGTCGACGGTTGTGCAATCGAGCGGTCGGTGACCCGGGGTGAACGCCCGTGCGCCGTGACGCCGCCGGGATGCGCCCGGCCTATATCCGGCGCACCGGTGCAGCGGCAACGACGCATTCTAGAGCGGCGTGGACCGTTAGGAGCGTGAGCGGGGAGTGCGCGGGGTCCGGGGCACTCTCACTTTCTCGGTTGGGTCGGCGGCCGGCAAGTAGGTCGCGCGGGTAACTGTGTGCCGCTCGGCGCAGTGCCCGCACAGTTCGCTCTCAGTCACCAAGCGCGTCGGTGCAGCGCACAAAATTATTAGCCATTTCAGTCTCGTCACAGTTGGTTAAGCGAGTGGTGGTGTTAGTGCTCAGTTTGTGTTAGTGAATGGTGAACACCATGTCGTGCGGCGCTGAATTGCGCGAACGGCACTCAGTACTGGTCAGCATGTTGGAGTCTCGCCGCGAGTCTAGTGACTCGGGTTGCTCCAGTGACGATAATTCTGACGTAGAGCGAGACTCTAATTGCCGGTGTGATCCCCAGGGTTTCTTTCGGCGGTCCATACAACAGAAGATCCAATACAGGCCGTGCACGAAAAACCAGCAATGTTCTATACTTAGGATTAATAGAAATCGGTGTCAATACTGCCGATTGAAAAAATGCATCGCCGTAGGCATGAGCAGAGATGGTGAGTCTAAAATTTTCTATTTTTATAAAAAAAATGTTGAAGGCAAAATAATGATAATATACTTATTGTCACAGTGCCTTCAGCATTTATTTTATATTTTTCTATATCAAATCATGCAAAATTTGTATAATTTCAAAATGCCTTCGTCGTGTAAATTTGCATTTTTTTCATGTAATAAAATAACATATTCGTATATTTATCTAAATAAATTTTAATTGAACCGTGGCTGATTATACAGCAAGAGACTTATGTAATTTATTAATGTGATGTGTCAATTAACTGTATTTAGTGTACAAATATTTTAGAGTACGTGCGCATAGTCGAATGGTAGTGTGCATACGTAATTAGTGCAAGGAAGGTCGTTCTCGCGATATCCGAGTGCGCCAAGTAGGACGCGGCTCGTGTACTGCTAAGACAGATCCTATTTCGCGGTGCGGAGCGTGCAATGTGCGTGGGGTGAAGGCGGGGAGCGCGGGGAATAGGCCCTGTGGTGTGGGAGGTCGGTTGGTTATGCAAGCGCGGGTGAGCGCACGCTAAGCGGGTCGACGGCCGCCACAGCCGCGCCGCTTCGCGAGTTGCGACACTCACTCGTTGCGGCCGCGTCACTAGCTCGACCGCGGGTGAAAGCGGAGAAAGGCTTGTTTCGTAAGCGTGAGAGTGAAATTTTATATTTTCACTTTCGTAACATAGTTCGTTGCCCTTACTTTGATTTTTATGCGTAGTACTATTACTATACGCCATAGTTGACAATAAATATAATCAACAATTTCATGCTATAATTTTACGTTAATAATAAACACAAAATACGAAACTGTAATAAAGTTAAATATTTCTATGATTGTCATAAATCTTAATTATAAAGTAATCCTTATAGATTAAGATAGTCAATCAAATTTTGAATAAATATATTCCGCATATCAAATTATAGACTCTACAATAATGTTATCAAATTATAAACACTACTAACTATACTGATTAGTTCCGCTACTCGACGCTAGATGGCGACCTTTCGTGACAGTAGCGCTCTTGCGATGAATGTGGTCAAATGTAGAACTAATTGTCTCTAACAGCAGATTTGTTTTTTTACGTATAGGTATAATTATGTTTTATTACTATAATTGATTACTTTCATGAATCAAGTATGAAATGTTTTAAGTACCTCTTAAATGTTAGTTTACATATTCCATTAATTGAATTGTAATGTTTCCTTTTATAAGAACTTAAAAAGACATACGAAATACAAAGTAATCATATTTAAAGATGTTGAATATCAAAATCTATGCTAATGTATGTAATAAGTAGAATTTATTATTCTGAGAATTAAAGTTTCATTTTATATAAATCAAAAATAGCGACCTAAGTCAAATATCATTATTAATATTTATGAATTTTACACATCCGTTATACTTGTCATAAATTACTTACCATCGAAGATTAACAGATGTGACTGTTTAAATCAAATAATGTCCTCATAGATTTAGTAAGATTCACGGTAATTAGCTCATATTCGCAAGTCTTGTCAAATCGTCAAGGTTCAAGTGGCGCGAACACTAAGAGAGGGGGTAGGCAAAGCGGGTGGGGCGATGAGAGGCGAGGGGAGGGGGTATCATTCGCGGGCGCAGGCCGCGCGGAGTTTATTGACGGCATCGTTCCCCCGCCCCGCCGCGCCAGCCCGCGCGTCAAGTTCAAGGTTGGCGCGGCGCGCGCCGCGGCGCAGTGCGAGGGAGTCCGGCCCGCGCACCGGTCGTCAGCCCATCGCTATCGCTATGTTAGTGTACCGACCGCCACGAGAACGCGACGATCGCTCACAGTGACTACTACAGTGTACTTTGCTGACTACGCAGTGCGCTCACACAAAAACATTGGATTACAACTCCTCATTTGGATTACAGTGATTGTGTTTAATAAACATCAGAGCTGCTATGTGACATTCTACTTAGTGAATAAATTTATTATAGTCATAAACTAACTTGTAGTTACCATTATTTTTTTTTTTAATTTATCAGTGGCCATAGGCTGTGAAATAGTTGTTAGTGAATAACTGAAATGGTGTCAGATATGGGTGAAGATTTACCAATACTGAAAGGCATCCTGAACGGAGACGTGAAATATCATAATGCTCGTACGTATATTTTAATTAATTCAATAATACAGACAAGACAGACAAATTTGTTGTTGTTGTCAAAGTAATAAACAAATTTTAAAATGCTACGAAGTCGTAGCATATACAAAAATCACACTTTTTCCGAATAAAAAGAAATATTAATAGTTTATGTATATTTAGATAATAATTGATCGTTACAACAAATAGATATTCATTATTATTTTCGTGTACTGTTTGTCAACTTTCTTTTCTTTTTTTTATATAATAGTAACATTTTAGTACCTAATATTAAAATGAATTATTATAAATTTATATTTAGATTTCGGCGTTTGAATAAAAGTATTTAAAACGTTTTCATAAATACTAATATAGTATATACAAATATTCTTTCTTTCTAAATAGATCAACATATATTAAACGATTTAATATCAATTAAAGTTGGGAAATTTATTAGTCGGTACTAAATAATCTAAATGATACTTAAGACATATCAAACAATGGAAGTAGGTATTCATCTGATCGGTACTACGTGGCCCACATAACGTAGCGAAAGTCGGGAGAAATGGCGAGAGGGCGCTCTCCGCTTTCGTTTTCAACAGCGCGCTCAAACACTTTCACCGCGCGTGCACGAACAGCTCAAACAACGCGTCCGCCCCCACCGCATACTACCTTTTAGTACGGAGCGCCTACAGCGAGAAAGTTGTAACACTTTTTAGTGTGACCTCGCATTTCGCGCTTTGTCTGGTCACTCGAACTAGTTCAGTTATCCGCGACGCATCGGCCTGGTGGATTTTGTAAAGCTTTAGCTTGTCGGGGTGGGCTCGACCGGTACGACGGGCGATGAACTCTACCCTCTCACCGTCAGCTGCGCGTGCACATGCCTCGTGCACTCGTATACACGCATACTTAGCGACAGCTGCAACCCGACGTATGTTTAGCCGCGACCTTGCACAACATATTTTTCGTTAGCCACGGTTCAATTATTTTTATCTGGAACGTAACGTTTGATCTAGAATTTCATGTTTGTTTTATTTTGTTATAGCTGTCCGGTTCGGACGCGTGCCAAAGCGTGAAAAGGCGCGAATCCTCGCTGCTATGCAGCAGTCATCGTCCTCGCGGGCGCATGAGCAGGCTGCGGCCGCGGAACTCGATGATGGGCCGCGGCTGTTGGCTCGCGTCGTCCGCGCGCACTATGACACCTGCGAGTTCACCAGTGACCGTGTCGCAGAGATGCGGGCGCGCGCTCGTGATTGTCCCACCTATTCACAACCCACTTTGGTGAGCAACTTTTTTTTTTATCAGAAGCCACTCATATCTCAATACATGTAAAATAAGTCACATTTTAAACTTTTTATGACTAGAATCTTATGAAATTTCTCTATTGTTATAGGCCTGTCCACTAAACCCAGCGCCAGAGCTACAATCGGAGAAAGAATTCTCCCAAAGATTCGCTCACGTAATACGTGGTGTGATCGACTTCGCTGGTCTCATCCCTGGTTTCCAGCTACTGACACAAGATGACAAGTTCACATTATTGAAAAGTGGTCTCTTTGACGCATTGTTTGTGCGTCTAATCTGCATGTTCGATGCGCCGCTTAATAGTATAATATGCCTTAATGGACAGCTTATGAAGCGCGACTCCATTCAGAACGGTGCCAACGCTCGATTTCTCGTGGACTCAACTTTTAAATTCGCAGAGCGAATGAATTCCATGAACTTAACAGACGCCGAAATCGGTCTCTTCTGTGCAATCGTGCTCATCACTCCTGACCGACCAGGTCTTCGCAACGTGGAGCTAGTAGAAAGAATGCATGCACGACTCAAATCATGCCTGCAGACAGTCATAGCTCAAAACAGACCTGACAGGCCTGGATTCCTTCGGGAACTAATGGATACACTTCCTGATTTGAGAACTCTCAGTACGCTACATACAGAGAAACTCGTCGTGTTCCGCACAGAACACAAAGAATTGTTAAGGCAAAAGATGTGGGGAGATGAAGAAGGTGTCTCATGGGCAGATTCTGGAGCTGATGAATCAGCGAGGAGTCCCATCGGCTCTGTATCGAGCAGTGAATCTGGTGAAGCTATTGGAGATTGCGGCACACCTCTGCTGGCCGCCACGCTAGCTGGCCGCAGACGACTTGACTCGAGAGGGTCTGTTGATGAGGAAGCTCTTGGCGTGGCCCATCTTGCACACAATGGCCTCACAGTTACACCAGTGCGCCCGCCCCCTCGCTACCGCAAGCTTGATTCACCCACCGACTCTGGCATCGAGTCTGGAAATGAAAAGCATGAAAGAATAGTAGGACCAGGTTCTGGTTGTTCCAGCCCACGGTCCTCACTCGAAGACCACCCAGAAGACAGGCGGTCACAGATCTCAGGGCCTGCTGATGACATGCCCGTTTTGAAACGTGTGCTTCAAGCACCCCCACTATATGACGCAAGCTTACTTATGGACGAGGCATACAAACCACACAAGAAGTTCCGAGCGATGCGTCGAGACACCGGTGAGGCGGAAGCGAGGCCAGCGAGGCCGACACCTTCACCGCAGCCGCAACATCCGCATCCAGCGAGCCCCTCCCATCCAGCGCATTCGCCACGCCCGATGCGAGTGTCACTATCCTCAACACACTCGGTCCTAGCGAAAAGTCTAATGGAGGGTCCAAGAATGACACCAGAGCAATTAAAGCGCACTGACATCATTCAGCAGTACATGCGACGGGGTGAAACAGCAGGCGAATGTCCCGCGCGCGCTGGCTTATTGGCTTGCTATCGTGGCGCGTCCCCAGCACCTGCACCCGTATTAGCACTGCAAGTAGACGTCGCGGAGGCGGATGCGCCGCAGCCGCTCAACCTCTCCAAGAAGTCGCCGTCGCCACCACGCCCCTACATGCCGCAGATGCTGCCCGCGTGAGGCCGGCCCGCGGAGCCGCACGTCTCCGCCACCCCACCCCGACCTACATTAAATTAAATGAAAAAAAACTAGTTAATAATCGTTCGCAGATCGTTTTAATATATTATATGTGATAATTCGTTTAGGAAGTGTGCGTGCGTGGCCGGCGCCGGACGAGGAGAGCGCATACAGACTGAAAATAATTTAATTAAGACTATAATATGTAAGTGTAATTTATAATAATGCAATGGAGCGCCGGTCGCGGTATGTTTGTGTGTGTATCGTATGTGCGTATGTGAGCGTGCTCAGTCATTTGTTTGTTAATATAAATAATGACAGGTTGTCGAATTAAAACAAACTTGTAAAAATTGTCTCTGATTTTTATTTTTCACATTCCTTGAACAAAGATAATATAAAATACCTTGATGATTCATGCCAGATGCTACAGTCATTCACCTTAGGTCGCATTTTAAACTCGTGGAAGACTATTTATAAAATAGATATAGATTTAAATTAAGCAGTTCGAGTTAAATGACTCATTGAATGGCAGACTAAGGAAGGAGTTTTAAAGTAATATAATTGTTGCAAGTTTCTTGTGCCAATTCCTATTAACACGTTCTAAATAAGTGTCAATTATTATGACAATAGAAATGAACTTTCTATCAATTAAGTTGAATATGGAATAACTTTACTTTTTAATGAATTGTCACAATAAAACTACGCAACATCAGTTTTTAAACAGGTTACTATTATATAGTAACAAACACTTTTCAATGTATGAAATGAAGATAATATAATAATATCTGATAAAGATAATAAACACTACGCTCATAAGAAAAAAAACGGCACCAAAATTAGCCGTTTTTTAAGGATAAGAATTTAATTTTTTCATATGGCCGTCAGGGAAATTGTTGAAAAATATTCAATTACGGCGCTACATTGCGTTGAAATGTTAAATGACGTCACGACGTTTGTACCTCCTCATGGCACAAAAGATACAAATTACATATTCATAAAATCGCATCTCAATTTTCATATCGGATATCATTGAATTATATTTTAGTAAAGGAGTAGATTGGTATGAAACATGAACAAAATTCTACTGTACAGGAAACTGACATGCGAGGAAGTAATTTGAAAAGGTCAAATAAATAAAATTATGAAGGACGTAGTACTATTTAAATTGAGCTAAGTATATAAACATTATCATAAAACCTCTCTGAAAAGAGGCTACTAACTGCAGCTAAAAATAATAAAACACGACTACCTTATAAAACCAAAAAAACTGCCTTATATTTAGACCCTAAAAAAGGTACAACGCGCTCGGAGCCAGAAGGGCGATCGGTCGACGACCCTCGCAGCTTCCGCGCCCGCTGCCGCTTCCACCTGACCCCAGGCCCACGGTCGCGCTCCGCTGTTCCGCGTTCTCTATACCGTCGCTATGCTCAATGGCTATTAAGGTTTCTAGGAAATAAAACGACTGCAAGTAGGGAACTGTTACATGAAACTGACCATAACTTTGGTATGACTACCTTAGCCTTTTCCTGGGAAGTACTGTCTTGTTTTTCATATAATTTATCAGCCAATTGATTAATTGTTGAAATTATGAATTATAAACTTGAAGAGTTACAAGTACAACCGAAATGTATTTCCCTTATATGTAGATTTAGAAACAATAAAAATAAAAAGAATTTTACAAAAATGTGCGGTTTATCATTTTGGTTCTTTATATCGGACTTAATTTTTTTATTTTAATAATGGCAGTCACGAAAACCCATGTTGTTTAAGAATAGTAAGAGAGCAAATGTCATGTTATCAGCTAGATACTTTATATAACAATACTGCTTCGTAGGTTATAAATCTGTAAACGTTTCAGAATAAGAAGCATCTATCAAATCATATTATAAGCTGAATTAAAAGATATAATAGAAATCACAACTCTGAATTCATTATTTAAAAAGCACTGTCAACTACCTTATCAACAAACATGCGAAGCTAATTTTAGCATTTATATGTGACTTACATACATAATCACAAATGAGTTTGTTACCAGTGCTCCAAAGACCTCTCCAAAGAACTCAAGTATTTACAAATATTATAGACAGGGAAACATTACTATAATACAACGAAAAGACACTTTATTGAAATAATTTTTATAATCAATTCAAATGTTATGATACTTTATTAAGTAATAGAACTTAGTCTAAATAATTAAGATTTTTTTTTTACTGAATAAGATTAACATATGTATGTATTATATAAAAACTCCAATACGCTTTGTTGTTAAACATCAGGGTAAACGATATGTAGCTAATCCGGGTCGCTTCTCTTTTTTGCTTTCAACTTTAAGCGTATAAAACAGTGTCTCCGATGTTGAGTTGCTAGAATTTTCAGCATTTTTTATTTGGGTAGAGATCATAGTCGCAAACTTTGATTGTAAAATCACACACTTGAGAAATTAATGTCAGCAAACCATAAAATGTATCGCTGCTAGATGGAGAAAATAGATTTTTATATTTTGTATTTTTTTAATTAGATGCATATGATTTTGGGGGCCGATCTCACGGGTTAGTCCCATGTGACTCCCCCACCGCGCGTTTTATTTTCTATGTCACTTAGCGAAAAATGACCTCAAATTACCTACCTATAGAGATTGTTCTACTTCAAGTACTAGTTTCAAATTAAATATTATTCAACGGTTAACTATAATAAACTAGCTTTTTTTCCGCGACTTCTTATGCGTATAATGTAGAATTTTAATATCGGATCAGTATTTCCGGAAGATTACCCCAAAAAATAAACGAGGAAACTTTACCTTTTTATAATACTAGCCTTCCGCCAGCGGCTACGCCCACGTGATCTAGTTTTAAGTCCAGAATGAGAAAATTCCTTAAAAACTTTCATCCTCTAATTTACTCCCTTAGGGGTCGAATTTCTCAGTGAGCACCTACGTCCCAAAAATAACCTACATGAAACTCCTAGCACTTGTAGTAACGATGTTTTTTTACAAACTTTCATCCCCTAATTTACCCTTTTATGGGTTGAATTTCATTAAATCCCATCTTAATGAGCACCTTCGTCCTAAAAAGAACCCGTACGCAAAATTTGAAACTCTTAGCACTTTTAGTTTTTGAGATCAGTGAGTGAGTGAGTAACCTTTCGCTTTTATATAAATAGATTAGGATTATTATTAACGAACTCGGTCTGCGATACGGTTGTTGAGCAACTTTCGTAATGGCTGGTCATATGATGGTTGCTCAAAAAATTATTATCTTGAGCTCCTCCGTGCTTCGGAAGGTATCTGTGAGCCTTTCGTCCCGGCTGCCTCTACAGTCGTAAATAGCCTCCAAATCGCTCTGGGCCCAAATGGTGAGCCCCATTCAGCCTATTCGATTGAGGGAAGACCTGAACCTGGTATCACTGGCTGGTGATATGTAAGAATTCTTTTCTTACAATAAATCTAGACAAGCTCATGTTACCCCACTATCAACCTAAAAATAATTCGGTTAAGTCTTATAATGACGTCAAACGTCCATGAGATCGATGGTGTGTGTTCATTTTCAGTATGTGTCACGCGTCTCGGTTCTATCGAGCATTGTATGAAAGTTCTAGAATTTTTTTACACGAGCAAATTAACACCTACTCTCGTTATAAATAAAATGTTGATCGTCTCGAAACGTCGATTGAAAGTCGCATCCCTAATATGTGTTATGTTTCGCTTTAATCCTTTACCAAATCTTGGTTTCATTTATTTTAACATATATTATATATGTATATACCTATATTACATTTATTATGATATTTATATTTGTATATTGTACCTTAAAAATATCTATTTATTGTTGAAATATTTATATAAAAGTGGTAATCTATTTATTACTCTGTTTACAATTTTGCTCAAATGCACCACAAACTGCTTCAATATCTTATTTTTTTTACGGTTGCGTAATTGCCTGGAAAATATTGCTTTTGAGCGGTATGGCTATCATTTGTAGTTCTATGTTAATGTTTGAGCTTTTTATTGGGTGAAAGTTCATTTCATCACGTTGTCGTTTTAATTTCACATATGAGCTCCTCATTTGTAAAATTAAAAAGATATCGCATGTTATTTATTTAGTGTCCGACCGAATGTTCGGTTTCTGTCGAGTTTCGGCAATAAAACGAGTTTTGGTTTCTGCCTGCTGCCTGCTTTCTTCTGCCTTCAAGTTTGCCAAAACTACGGCCGAAAGAAACTACATTCGAGCTTTCTCGCGCTCTGGTCGGTTGGTTTTGTTCGCGCGCATTGAATACCGGCCAATCGGCGGCGAAGACATTCGCCGCGTCTTCGTGGCTAATCATGTCGTGATTGGCTTGTGTTTTGATTATTGTAAGTTTTGATGTAACTTATTTTGAATTTGACTCTGTAATAAACATCAAACAATTATTCGAAGTAAGATACTAATAATTTCATCGATTATAGTATAGGTATAATCATCTTTAACCTATCTAAATATAACGCAGTATAATACATTTCTTAACTATATAAAAAGATTGTTGAATTATAAATACTAGTAGCAGTATTAGTACCTATTCGATTACATAGATTTATTTTAAAGAATCTCCTTGCATAGCACGTTCCATAACTCGCTGACCGACTTTAAACTGGTGGACCAGCTGGACTATGAGTGTCGTTTCAGCATCATAGGTCATGACGGATAGGATGTACTGGTTAAAAACTTTTGTTTTCAAACATTATGGCAGAGATGATGAGAAAACTCGACGTTGCTTGCCAAACCCATCTGGATTCTCCTTTATTTGTTTTATTTATTTTGACAGTTTATTGCACAAAAAAGTAAATATAAATACATTGTAAGGTACAAAAAGAAAAAATTAATTAACTACAGTTGTGCAATATCCTTTTGGCCTCCTTTACGAAATTGCATCGACCTAGCTGCAGAATCTGCCTTAGATATGTATATTCGAAAATAATTTCGAGATGGTATAGTTGCATTTACGATAGGTCTTGGATCCGGGTGGTTATTGATCATTACTTTTGTTTTATTTGATTTCATTTTAATACCAATTCGTTGTGAGGCCAATGCCAAATTGACGAAGTTTTGATAGATGTTACAGTTTCGTCAGCAATTCAGCCATTTATACTTTGTCATCTGCAAATTGCGAGATGTAATTACTGTTAATGATAATTGCCTCTTCGAACTTCTGTTTAATCTGCTACTGTGTAAATGTGGTCTATGGTAGCATATCCTTCACAAAATCCGGCCTGCTCTGGAAGTTGAAAGTCATCAAGTCTTCCAGTAAAGCGATTCGTGATTACCTTAGGGAACAACTAATGAACGTGGTTCAGGAGCGAGTTGGGTCGATAATTCTTTAGAATAGT